CCCCAAAACCCCAAAACCCCAAAACCCCAAAACCCCTCGCCAGTCTAGTTGGTTGCAAAAATATTATAATAATAAAATGGGGGAGGCTGTCGTGATAGATATAGACAGTTATGTGCAAGACTGAAGTATACGACAGAGTAGAGGAGGATGAGTAAGAAGAGGAAAATGAGGTTTGAGTGCAGAAGAGTTTTGGAGTGGAGAAGGATTTTAGAGTGTAGATTTTAGATGGATTTTGAAAGGGTTTTGGATGGATTAAAGAAGGATTGTGGAAGGATTCTGGGATGGAGAGGGGGTATTGGTGGTGATTTTGGAAGGGTTGGATTTTGGATGAGATGGGGGTAGAGGGGTGTGGAGGTTTGGAATAGTTGGGATTTAAGAAGGGGTAGAGTTTAGGCTGGGAGGGTATGAAGAAATTAAAATTTTTAAAATAATAGTTTTTGAAATTGAAAAAGATTGGTAGGCATCCATCCTAGCTAATCATTTTTGATTAGTCTTCGGTAAAAATAGGTCAATCGCCTATTTTGGAGTTTACTTCTGAGACTTATTCAATACACAAGAAAATATAAGCTCCCAAGAGTTTTAATATAGTCTAAGAAGGAAATTTCATACCTTGGGTATATGATTACTATTTGTTGTACTGAGTTTGGCTGACCAAGATCTAGGGAAATGAGTCAGGGAAGGGAGAAGAATTCAAAGCCATTATTGATATTTGAACACAAATTGAAGCACAAGGCTCAACTGTTAGGTAAGAATAAGCTTTTTAATAAAATTAATAATTTTAATTTCTTGATAAATTCTCCATTCATTCTGATTAATTTTATGAAAAATTTAGATTTGGTAAAGGAGAGTTTAAAAATATTGATGAACTAAATGAAAAATTAGCCTTTCATTACTCTTATCTGTAAAATAATTTTTACAGATCTTTAGGATAATTATTATCCATATAAAACAAACCCTTTTGGCTATATTATTTTTAAGTAAATTCTCTTCATTTGAAAAATGATATTATTGTCTTTATAGCCTCTATTTTCCAGAATTTTGCAAAGAAATTGAGAAGCTCCAGAAATTATTGACCCAGAAAAACAAGCCTAAAGGAAATACAGAGACCAATCAAGGTAATCTTATAGCTAAATTTTAGCAGTATTCAGAGTTAACATTGTAGTCGGTCCCCAATGGTTATTCTTTGAACTAGGATCTCATTCTTTTGCTGGGCATGAAGTCGCAGTCTACTCAAACAACCCGAATTTCTTCCATAAGCAATTCGTCGACATGTTCCAGCTGAAATGTGGAAGCAATAAGAATATTTCCATTAAACAAAAAAGGATGGAAAAGCTATTGGAAGACTTAGAACTAATGAAATCTCTCACAGAATCAACTGATACAGAAGAATCAAAGACTGATCCAAAATTAATGAAACACAACAAAGAGAAAATTTATCAAATCAAATTAAAAGAAGGAAATAAAAGTATTGAAACAGGAATCTCAGATTCTGAAACAGTGGTTGGCCCATCAACCACAACAGGATCTACTGTATGCTCTGAAATAGATAAAGAAATGGAAGAGCTTGAAAGGAAATTCAACCTTGACAAAAACTATAAAAATTCACTTGCTGTGCTATTAGAAAAAATCCCCAAATATTTTAATAAAACAGATGAAAATAACGTGCTAAAATTCATGAATGGACTTGAAAATCTAGTAAACCAGCATCTCAATAAATTTCAAAAATCATCAAAGATTGATCTTTGTACTTCTGAAAGGAAAAATTATTTCCTTTTTGTTAGGAATTTCCTTTATAAAAACAAAATCATCGAATGTGAGATTCTGAATCTATGGGTAAACACACATCATGGAGACACAGAAGAGAAGATAAAAGATTCCTACACAGTGAAAGTAGACTTTGACAAAATTGATAAAGTTTTGGCTGAGCTCAAAGAAACTAAATCAAAATTCTCGTTCAAGGGATATCAACTGGTAGATAAGATTAACAACTATGGATCAATATGTCACGCAGCTGTTAAGAATTTGATAATAAATGATCTTATGAGCTCTGATAAACCAATTAGTTCAATCAAAAGTCTGACTCAAAATATTCACCATGTTTTGAAATGCATTTATAACTCAAAGACAGTGACCAAAGAGCAGAAGTACGTTATAAAGAAGGATAAGAGAGTTAAGTACCTGATTTGTGAAATATTAAGAAACCGTGGAGTCTGGGAAGAAAAAGTGGATGGATCTGCAGAGATCAACAAGGCAAGATGAGAAGCTCTCTTTCATGAGTTGGAGACTTATCCTTCTAAAAAGATGATAAATAAACTGATTTGAGAAATCCAGAGTATTGTTTGCAACAGTTAGATCATTTAGAAGGAATGTGAAGATTTCTAGAATAATCCTTTTTGTTAATGATAACAGATACCTCAGATCGGGCTTTCGGGTATACATTCTTGACTTACCAGGATTAGTGGACACTTTCTGATTAGTTAATATATTGATCAAATGATTTGCGAAGATAATTTGGATGAATCTTCAAATATCCAACATTTAGCTTTATTAATAAGCCTGATTCAAATTTAGACCCAATACTTATCTATTTTCTCCAACAAACTTCGATACATTCAATGCACTGAGCTTACCTCCTTAGCCTCTATTCGTTCCTTCTTCGTCTTTAATTTTAAAGCCCAGGTTGGCAGGAAGGCACAATAGCTTTTTGGGAAGCAGACTTGGGAAGTGGAGAGGAAGATGAGGAGGAGAGGATGTGTTGGAAGGGGAATTTGGGATTTTAAAGGGGTAGAGAGAGGCTTTGGTTGTAATTTTTTTGGTGCGGTGAGGGATAGAATATAGACGGAAAGTTTTGTAGAGAGGGTAAGTCTTTTGAATGAGAATTCTGATCAGGAGAAATGGTGCACATATCAACCATGGCGTACTATTATCACATATACCCAAATAAACATATTAATTCAACAACCACTCAATACTACGGGGTTTTGGGGTTTTGGGGTTTTGGGGTTTTGGGG